AAAACACTATACTGTGTCATCTCTGTTCTCAGCAAGAGACTAAAGAAGGCAGAGAATATTTTCATGCATAGGGCTGGAAACACAATAGCCACAGAGAAAGCTTGGAAATCAGCCAGGAGAGATGGAAGTTTTATTTAAGCTCAAAATATTACAGGCCATGCCTTGCTGAAATGAATTACAGCTTCACTCTTTGATATTTATCAAAAATGAAATGAGAGGCTTTCAAAGACAGTCAATTCTTTACTCTGAAATTTTATTTGATTGCCCAAGCCTGAACTCTTTCTCTTTTTTTAAAAATAACTTGTTGAAATGCAATATACTAATATACATACCAAGTAATGCCCAGAAGCATAGTAAAAATGAAGGGTGTTTTTATCATCTGATCACAAACAAAAGCAACATCAAAAACTAAAAACAAGGCACTACTAACACCACAAGAGTCCTCACTTTCCCTCTCTTTTCTTTTTTTCAAATGTATAAAATAAGAGTATATTGTCATTTATATGATGTGATTCCATGAAGTACTACTTGAAACTATTCATCAAATGATATGTCATTTATGGATTTTTATAACTCTCTCCATATATTAACAGCTACATAAAAGAGAAAACATGATATTTATCTTTTTGGGCCTGGCTTATTTCACTTAGCATAATATTCTCCAATTGTATCCTTTTTTCCTTCCTCCCTCCCTTGTCCCTTTCCTTCCTTGTCCCTTTCCTTCTTTCTTTCCTTCCTTCTTTTGTCAAATGTCAGCATTTTATTTGTTATGGCCAATATTCCATAGTGTATATGCAGCACATTTTCTTTATCCAGTTATCAGTTGATCAAAAATCTAACTCTAGGTTGATTCCATATCTGAACTTGTGAATTTGGCTGCTAGAATCATCAGAATACAAGTAACTCCTTCAGCTGCTAACACCATTTCCTTTGGATGTTTTTCCAGCCGTAGTTAGCTGGGTCATAATGGTAGATCTATTTGAAAGTTCTCTGAGGAATCACAGTACTGAGGTCAGAATCCTTTCATTGCAAGAACTAATTACATAACATACTTGCCTTAGGAAATGGAACTTTCTCTAATTCTAAAATAAGATTTTTTTGTGGGGGGGGACTGGCATCATGGCACATCAGGTTAAACTGCTGCCTGGGACACCTGTATCCCATACATGCACAGGTTTGATTCCTGGTTGCCTCACTTCCAATCTAACTCCCTGGTAATGTGCCTGGGAGCATAGCAGAGGATGGCCCAGGTCCTTGGACCTACAACCATTTGGGAGATTGAGACAGTGTTTCAGATTCCTCACTTGGGCCACACTCAGCAGTGGCCATCTTGGCCATTTTGGTAGTGAACCAGAGGATGGAAGACTTATGTATATGTGTGTGTGTGTGTGTGTATGAGAGAGAGAGAGAGAGAGACTCCCTCTCTCTGCAAATCTGCCTTTCAAGTAAATAAACATTTAAAAGTAAGATTATTTTAGAAACTTAAATTTCTAATTTGTTTCACTTTACTGCCTTTGTGTTAATAAATACTTAGAGATGCTGGCCTAATTACAGATATGTGGAGATAGATAAAAACATAAGGATAGATGTGCAAAGTCATCATCATACATGTATACATAGGGATAGGCAACCTCATTATTCCAAGGGTCATTTGGATATGCATAACATCATACATAATCAACAAATTTAAATTACCCCGCTTTAGACCCATTGAATTTCAAATCCCACCTGTGATGTCTTGGTAGGGTCAGAAAAAATAAGTTCACAGGCTTTAAATGGCCTGTAGGCTGGATGTCCCCCACCCCAGATATAGTATCATGAGTTCTACTCATTAAAATCTCAAGACCCCTGGGTGTAGTTTACAAAGTTGAAGTTATAGCATTTTATCCAAACATGGTGCCAACATAAGTTTTCAATCCAAACAAGTAAAGATGATTTCTTCTATATTATATCAGGCAAAAAAGAAATGAAGATTGAGATGATCTATGATATTAAAGACTACAGATAAGTCAAGGGAAGAACAGCTCCAAAAAGGACTTGTTCCTAGAAAAAGGGAAATGTGGTGGCTTTTGCAGGTGTTCTGCACAGAGAGCAGGTAGGAGAAAACAAAAGCTCAGGAAAAGATTACATGATGACAAAAGAAATGTTCATAAAGTGAACAACAGAAAAGAGAGGGGGAAGGGCGGGCACTGTAGAACACCAAGCTCAGCTACTGCTGGGGATGCCAACATTCCATACTGGAGCACCTGATTCAACAGCCATCTCCTCCAGGCTTCCATCTAACTTTCTACAAAAGCTTCCTGGGAGGCAGCAGACGATGGCCCAAGTACCTAGATTCTTTCTGTAGGAGACTAAGACAGAGTTCCTAACTTTGGTCTGGCCCATGCCTGACTATTCAGTCATTCAGGATGCAAGTTAGGGGATGAACTATTCTTGCTCTCCATCTCTCTGTGAATCTGAATTTCAAATAAATAAATAAATAAAATCTTTTTAAAAAGAAAAATAAATTGAGGATATCAGTATTGAAGGATTTGTTTTCAGAAAACAGGAGAGAGAAAAGGGAGAAAAATAAGAGGAAGTGAGTTTAGCACAGCTATTAACTGTTGCTAAAATACATAGTCTTCTATTTGTAATTATTTTTGATGAATTATTGTTCTTTGTACTGCTCTGAATACAAAGATTTCTTTGTAAAGCTCATTTCCTTTCCTTGCATAATACTTGCTCTACTTATCAGCATTGACTGAAACACTATTTATCAGCCCTGAGAATGTGCTGGCATTGAAGGTGAGAAACAGAAACTATAATTTGAGTTCCTCCAAAGGAAAGTGCTTAGAAATCAAAGGCATTGCTGCACAGTTATAATCCCATCCCTCCCTGAAAGCTTGCCATGACATTATCTCTGATCCTCTAAGGGCCGACTTTTCATTTAGCCATTGTGTTAATAATTTGTTATTCACAAAAAGGAATGGATAGCTAAACTGATCATCTCAGCTGGATAATCTCCTCTTTTCCTTAGTTGCAATGCAATGGATCCAAGCCAGGTATCAGAAATAGGAGCACAACTCATGCCATCTTCCATGTAAATCAGATCCAGAAAATCCAGCACTGCATAAACTGTAAGGGCACAAAGCCCAGCACCATGAGTTCTTTGCCAATGAGATTCGTGTGCTCAACAGGCATGGAAAACACGAGATGGCAACTCATGAGCACTCCTTCCATATTTGAACACAGTCACTTAACCAGTCACTCATTATAAGGGAAGCCAATCTTAACAGTAGAATAAACAGAGGACAAAAATAAGAAGTTAGTTTATAGTCAGTCACAAATATCTCTAAGAAAATTGCCAGCTATTGTCTATCATACAAAATTGGATGGATGTTAAAAATATAAGCATAAAAATTGTAATAAACAGAGCTGCTAATTAACATTTTTCTCTTTTTGGTACTTCCATGTAAGGTAGAACCCAGAGAAGAATATTTAAGAGCTTAAGGGAAAGAATATGTTAAACTAGAAATATAACCCATGCTTGGTGGTTTGTATAACTGCAAGTTGTCTCTCGTCATTTAAAAGAAATTATTTTAACAGAAGATATATCTAATTCCAAGTTGTGATTATTCAATATATCTAATAATTTGATTCAGCTATATACAGATGTACGTAACAGATAACAGACAAGAGTAAAAAACCAACATTTGCTTTTATGTCTATTGACAATTAAGTCAGTAAACATATTATAAATAATAATACAATCCATTCATCTCCAAATATTGCTATTATTTAAAAATTAAAGACATTGACGACTGCATGATACATGAAATATTTAGAAAATAAACCAAGCTAAAATGAAACAATCACCTAGTTTAATAGTACTCTTTTTCCAAAGGTTAAAACTGGGAAAGCATATCCTGGAAAACATGAAAACATTTGGTGAATTTATTCTAACAATAGAGACAGCGAGCCATTTTTTGATACCAAAAGTCAATTCAGATCAGACCTATTTTCCTTCCTGTGTTTGTGACAGCACATTCTGCGGCAGTTCTATATTTGCGGAATAGGCTTTTTGAAGGCTACAGTTCAGGCTGCATGCTTTGTTCACTGATAACATTCCCAAGATTCTAGAACAATATCTGGTACATAGTAGCCATTTGTTAAATTGAATTACTGTTACTATCCTCACATGGAAATTACAGAACAAGGTGTCCTACTCCTCCTCTATAATTTTTGTTGTAACTACTGCTCTCCACAAAAACACGAGATAAGAAAAGCTCATTTATCACAGCATTTCCAAGAAACTTGTCACACATCTCACCCCTCAGCTGCTTGGCTCTAGCACAGCTTGGAGGTGGCTGAAGATCAGGAGCCTGCGCTGGATCGCTGCCTGGGGCTGAACTGGTTTGCCCACTATGAAGGGTTGAATTGTGTTCCTTGCCACATCCAAGCCGAACAAACGCAAACGATGAAGTCTTAGCCCACATTTCCTTACAAACGTGATCCATTTTGTTAAAAGTTTCACTGAAGAGTTACGTGAGGATGAGGTCATACTGGTGCAAGATGGAACTCTAAGCTTGTCAGACTGGTGGCTGTATGAGCAGAGGAGACTGGCCCTCAGCGACACCGTAGGGCGAGCACCACGGGAGACAATAGATTGATGCTCGTGTGAAATAGGGAATATCAAAGGCTGCCCGCAAGCCACCAGAAATCAGGCAGAACATGCAACAAACTCTCCTGTAGACACCCTGATCTTGGACCTCTGCCTTTAGAACTCTGGGAAATAACATCCTCGTTCAAGCCACCGGTTTGCGGCACTTTTTTATGGCTATTTCAACAAACTAAGACAACCCCTTAGAGCTTGCTACATTCCTAACCAGCGACACTTGCACCCAGTTCTCACTCTTACTGTGCACCAAATCATTCAGAGTTCACAAAATCATCTCTCATTTACTCCAAAGCACCCACATTGCCAATGTTATTTATGTGCCTAGTGAAGGACTTCCTCTTACCTTCGGCTGGCTGCTGTGCTGGGGGTGGCCTTAGAACCAGGAGGGGGAGGCGGAAACCAAGACTGTCTGTGGAGAAATGACATCAGTCATGAACCTGGTGCTTTGCAAGGCTGATGCCACCCACATGCCTCTCAGGAAAAGCGGAAAATAATCTAACAGATAACAAGGCCATGAGATTGTTTTATGTAAGGACTTGGAAATTTAAAGATGTTTCATAAAGGAAATAGGAAATAACTGTCTTATAGTTCAGGCTCTCTGATTCCCCAATTCCTTTTCTCATTTCCTTTGGCTATGAAAAATATGGATGTTGCCTTAAAAATACATCTGACACAAATCTAGAAAAAATACAATTGTTAAATCTAGACAATAGGTTCATGGTTGTTAACTGTACTGTTCTCTCCAGTTTTCTGTATGGTTGAATTATTCACAGAAATGACAACATATCCCGTGATCTATTCAAAATAGAATTTTTTAAATGATGTGTGGTTCAAAACTGTAAGTCATAAGAATACTGAAAACACAAGTGAATACCACAGCAGTGTAAAAACAATTTTAGCCTCAGTTAGCAAAACTCCCTTATCTTACAAGAATATTATTTTAATTGGTAGAAATAACTAAGGGCTTTATCTAAAAAACTGATATTTGAACAAAAAATGCGGATGCTGAAGAAGTCAGAGAAGGCTGAGCGGACAAGGGAAGGCTGGGATAAAGAGGTCAGAGGAGCTGATTTTAAACCCTTGACTATCCCAAGGCATCACAGGACTGAACACAGATGGGGTGGAAACCAGCCGCAGTAGAGTTCACCTTTCTGCACGGTGAGTGAGAGCTGGTCTCGTCTGTCAAAGCAAAATTGGTACAACGAGTACTAGACTGAAATGTTTCAGACCCGGCACAATGGCGCAGTGGTTAAGGTCCTCACCTTGCATGCCCGGGATCCCATATGGGCTGCCGGTTCTAATCCCGGCAGCCCCGCTTCCCATCCAGCTCCCTGCCTGTGGCCTGGGAAAGCAGTCGAGGAAGACCCAGGCTTTGGGCTCTCTCAATTGGTTGCATGCTTATGTCGCTCTGGCAGTCTAACTCTCGTCCTCTTCAGTACCTGCCTGTTCTTTGTCTTCCCATGGACAGACTCTGAGGACAGGTAGCCCCTGAGCATGGCCCCTGGTATCTGTATTCCTCACCCTCTGTTCACTGCTTGGGCTACTCAGTGAAGTCAATGAAGATGTGAATGCGAAGATGCTTTGTATTTCTAATTTGTGCATTTTCTATAGTTCTAGGAGAGGGAGGCCTGGCAGTAATGGAATGTGGACAGAGAAGCCAAGAAAAAGTGAAGGTTTGCAGCTTTGTAAGTGTGCATCTCTCTTAGGACAATTTTTACTGAGAGATCTGGATTAGTTCCAGGCTCATAGTTTCAGTTTGACCCAACCTTGGTTTTATGGGCATTTCAGTGAGTAAGCCAGCAGATGGAAGCTCTTTCATTCTTTTTTTAAGATTTACTTATTTTTATTGGAAAGGCAGATGGAATCTACAAAGAGAAGGAGAGACAGAGAGAAAGACAGTCCATCCACTGGTTCATTCTCCAAGTGTTTGCAATGGCTGGCAACGGCAGGAGCTGAGCCAGTGTGAAGCCAGGAGCCAGGAAGTTCTTCCAGGTCACCCATGCAGGTACAGGGTCCCAAGGCTTTCAGCCATCCTCCACCACTTTTCCCAGGCCACAAGCAGGGAGCTGGATGGGAAGTGGAACAGCTAAGACATGAACCAGCACCCATATGGGATCCCAGAATTTGCAAGGTGAGGATTTAGCCACTGAACCATCATGCCAGGTCCCCCACTCTTTTACTCTTGCAACTTGTTCTCTCTCTCTCTCTCTCTCCTTCTCAAATTGGATGGAGAGTTCAACAGAAAGATGAAATTCATTGCAAACAGATCATGAGAGGCCAGAGGGAAGATAGAGGAAGAGGTAGTAATTACTTGAGCACAAACAGGTGTTTCCAGAGAAGGTTTGTCACTTTGTCCTGGGAGAACCCGACCAATCCACATAGCAGAGGAAGCCTTACAGAAGCAGGCTGCTCACAGGAGCTTGGCACCAGTGTGTCAACCATTATTTCAGCCTGAGGTACTCCTTGATAGGACTCTGTGGAAGCTGTGATCAATGGTCACCTGTCCTTTAACACTGGAACTCTATCACTACAAATGCACATGGAAATCCAAAGGTCTTGGGGAAATGGACAGAAGACCACATATTTGAAAAGGAGACAAGAGTCACAGACAGGACTGAAGTCTGAGGATGGCAGGATGCAGGATCTCTGGGAAGGATTTGGTAAGGGATAAACACAGCACCGACCCTCAGAGAGCATCACCAGTAACCCACCATACCTCTTTTTCTTGACAGGGGTGGCAGCAGGGGCCGAGGCTGTGGTGGTGGTGGTGGTGGTGGTTGCATTTAATAGACCGCCAGGCTGCCTGTTTAATGACAAACACAACAGAGCATCACATTCCTCTATCTTACTCATCCTGCCCCTCTTTGAAAGGACATAGAGCCCCTCTGTCCACCACTAAAAGTCTCATGGATAATACTTCTCTCCTATTTTATCTATTGTGTAAATTGCCAGGCTGTCACATAACCAGATAAAACTGAAGGAAGTGGAAAAAGTCATTCTGTATGTTAATCTTCTAGAATTCAGGCCAATGAATCTGATATGCCATATATTCATAAATCTTTAATACTGTGATTACACTGTGACTAAAAATGATATTGTAATTTTTTTCTAATACATTAAGGACATTTTGGAAAACTACCACTTTAAATCTCTCTTCGGCATTCATTACTATCTATAACCCTCAAATAATGGAAGCAGGCCTAGCTCAGACAGTGAGAGGTATGTTTTAGTGTGAAAGGGACTTTATGAATAACTACACATTGAAAATTAATTACATTTTAAAAAATCTAATTTAGATCGCTTAGGGTCTCTAGTAGATGCCAATAGATTGTTAACAGACTCAGGGTTTCATGACCCATTTCTCACAGAAGGAGGAATTGTGGAGGAGTTTGGGAAGGAAAGTGAAAGTGAACTGGAAGGGCAGAAAAAGGCAGGTGCTGCAGAAGTAGGGAGACAAATTCTGTGGGAAAGAAGTAAGCAAGCTAGATTTTTAAAAATAAAAAAATGACTTAAGCTTGGTGTCTGTTTATACAAGGGACAGCAATATTTTTCTATCAAAATCTAGAAGGCAGACATTTGAAGCTTTTTCCATCACGTTAGTCTCTATCCTGTACTACCAAGTGGCCTAGCTTTTCTTCACCCAAACACAGATACTTCAATTAGAAAAGTACATACGTTTTGGTTGCTCCTGGTGATTTAAATGTCGCCATATTCCTGATAAGAGAAAGCAGGGATAAAGTTTCAGAGGCAATGAAGAGTTAATATTTGTATGTCCACTTGAAATTACTCATGAATTTAGAGCTATCATTAAAAGTTGGAAATTATTTCAGAGAAAGAAAAACAAAGCCTCAGTATTTTAGAAAATTGGATAAGATGATGTCATAATTTCTTTGTGTCTCTTGACCTTTGATTCCAAAGGAAAATTGTGTCTCCAGAAAATTCAGGAACTTTTGAACCCGATGCTTATAATTTGTGGATCCTGCCATCTCTCTGTAGCCAAAAGAATGTAACATTTGCATTTGCCTGTGTTTCATCATCTTACCACCAGGGCACCTTGTACAAAAAACATAAAAGTGGAGAGCCTGATGACCTGAAACAATGAATTGATTTTTAAGTAAGGAAACAAGAATTTCCCACGGCCCTGAGCAGGAGCAAAGTTTTCCACCCCAGAACTTTTGTGTTAAAAATATAGAAGGTATGAGTTAACAGAAAGATCTTAGTCAAATTGAAGATTTGTAAGCAAATATGCAGAATCAATAAGAGATTGCCCTCGAGCCTTCCCAAAAGTTAGTAGACACTGGTACCTATTGGTTAATCGGTTATCCAGGGTATTGGCCTTATAGATTGTGGCAGCATCATTTCTCTCTGAGATCCTTTGTGAAGAAACAAGACAACAGCCTGGATAAACATTTAGATTATTAACTCCTTTCAGAGCTTTTTGATGCTACAATCCCCTACATCCCGTCTCTATTAAAGAGAACTGCTTTTTATGTGTTCCCCATCTGAACAAAGTATCACTTTGGACTGAATATAAATATGTACTCACACATATATTAACACACACATGAGGCTTTTTAAATGTAGTTTGGAACTTTAAAAACAAGATGATTTTTGCTCGTCTCTTCTGACATACTGAACATATAATGCATTAATCGGTTTACGTTCATTGTTGTTGAGTGAAATTTCCAGTTATTGGCAGTGCTTCCCATGACAGCAAATGGCATCCATGGCATTCTGAATCATGTTTAAGAAATGCTTTGGGAGCCAGCACCATGACATAAGGGCAAATGCGTCCCATAGGGACACCAATGGAAGTCTCAGCTGCTCCCTGCTAATGTGCCTGGAAAGCAGAATATGATCCAAGTACGTGGGCTTTGTCACCCATGTGGGAGACCTAGACAAAGCTCCTGGATCCTAGCTCAAGAGGGACAATTTTGGGAATAAATCGGCATATGGAACATTCATTCTTTCTCCCTCCCTCTCTCTAGACAGGAATCTTAAATCTTGGGTCTTCTTTGGAAACTACTTGGACTTTGTAGCAGTCCTGAGGAACTGCTACCCTGGTGAATTGAAAACACCCCACCTGCTCCAAGTACATGGAACCTTAGTATCAAAGATGATCAAGTGAGCATGATGTTAAACTAAATGAAGTTTCAAAATTCCACATTGTGAAACTGTTTAGGCATTAGTGCATATAGTGAAAAAATAGTTATCTACTATTATTTTCCAGTCACTTCATAACTTTTATCCATCATTAAGGTAATCTCTATGAGGTAGGAGAAATTGTCCCATTTCAAAGATAGAGAAATGGAGGTTCATCAAGTTGGGTGAATTTTTATTGTCCAGATAGCCAGGAAGTGGCCTATCTTCAAAGTCATTCATATATGCTATTCTGCAAAAAATGACTGTCCTCAACACTGCTGTGTTATCTTAACACTTCTCTTTTGAATTCTCTCTTTAGTTCTCATTCTTCATCTCTCGTAATCTCTTTCATGCCACCATAAGGTCAAGCCAATCCACAGTAATGGAAAGAAACCTAAACACCATTCTAACACGGAGACCTGAAGGAGATTTATTTTACATTTTCACAGAACTAAATTTCTTCAGATTTGAATTATGAAAAGGTTGTTTTTAATATAAATCGGTCTTGAAGACAGGTGATAAACACATAATCAAAACAAAGGAAAAGTGGTACTTTCACAATAGAACACAAGGGGGCACCCTAACCTAGGTTTTCCATACCTGCAGGGTTTGTGTCACACTGGATGCTACAAGAATTATCTATACACATACATTTTTTTTTAAGACACTTCATATTTTTATTCATGTATGTATATTTTAGCAGTGAAATCTTCTCGCAGTCAGAAAAACTAGTGCATTATTACTAAAATGCATCATATACATACACAGACACAACCAGCTAAATCTGATTATCTTCTCTGCCAAAATGATCTCACATCTCACAATTTGGAAACAGTCTGCATTGTAAAAATAGGAACCCTGTTAACAAGACCTGTGTTCTCTTCTTCATATCAATTTTCACACTAACTGTCTTTGGAATGACCTAACCAGGTCACTTCTCCCAAATCTGCAACTTAAGGCCTGTAAAAATAAAATGCATGTCGATATAGATGGTTTAGACTCTTGTTGCATATTAGAATCACTTTGCTGGCTAGGAGAAAATGAGTCCCATCTCAGGCTCTTTATATCAGGATGGACGAGTGAACAATGGCAGAACCACAGCATCTGTGCAGTCGAGAAGCTCCTGTGCTGATGCCAGTTAGCATCTAAGGCTGAAAATGATTCCACCAGTTTGTCTATGACTGCATTTCTTCCAGCCCAAGCTTCATCTTGATAAGAACCTGGCAGACACCACGTGGCTGCGTTTTTTGCTTCCTAATTATCTCACTGTCACAGGCCAGCACGCACGTGCAGAAGCACTTCGTCTCCTTTTCTGTGTACTGCTGTGGAGGTGAGATCTTACACTTCAGGCAAGTCATTCCGACATGGCTGAAAATGAAGAAACGGGCCAGCTCTTTTAGACAGTGCTATTTCTCTACTCGGGAGATGGACTCATGGGCCAATGACAAACACAGAGGCACATGCCTTTGCTACAGTATACAACACTGGCACGGCATGGATGTCAAGTAGAAGATACGAGCCTCAGCACATCTGCTACAAATATTAGGTCTCCAATAGCAGTACACATTCATCATGATTTTCAGATGAACGGAGGATGTTAACTTTGTTCTAGACATCTCTATCAAACCTTATCTAAAAATACGGTTTCTGGTATTTATACTCTAACGTGAATAGAATTTTCTCCTGACAGAACAGGAAACCAACAGATGGCTCAATTGCCAAGAGTTTTCTAAAGTGCTAATATCTTTATGTAGAGTATATTAACACATTGCGTTAAGATTTGCCACTTCTCCTCAAAGTAATTGCACAGAAATTGCTATGTCTCCAACATAGAATGAAAGTCTCAAAAGTGGAAACAAGTGCTATACACATTCAGAAAATTAACCATGTCTTCCATTTCCATTGAACTGACAGATTCCATTCAGTGTCTCCCCATCAATGTTCAAATTAGTATCTCAGGAGTTTCCATATCAATCTACTATTTGAAAGATTTTAGGTAAACAGTGATACCTATTCAAGATTTTTCAAGTTTTAAGGAAGACAGTTCAATTCTTACAGCCTTTTGTTCCTGGAAATAAAATGCCCGTTGTTAAAACTTATATTGGTAAGCATGTACATATTTTATAGCTTTGTAAGAAACGGGCTTTAATATGCTCTTACTCATGATTCAAAGCAGCTTACCTGTCCAAAGTATCATCAGATCTGTACCGGCTCAAAGTGGCTTTTGGCTCATCTCTTTCATTAATCTTCCTGTAGCAAAAATAAATTCCAGGAGATCAAATAAATTATAAAAAGTAATTTATAAAACCTGTCATACATTTGGCAAAACCTTGATCTATTGGGCATGAATGTAGATTTTTATTAGGGAATGACATATTTGGACTATCTGGTCCTCCTGGACCTGCGTTTGGCTAGAATAAACCACAGCTGACTCAATTCCCTATACTAATAAAGGATACTTTTTTTTAAAAGATTTATTTTTATTATTTTTTATTGGAAAAGTGGATATACAGGGAGGAGAGACAGAGAGGAAGATCTTCCGTCCGATGATTCACTCCCCAAGTGGGCGCAACGGCCAATGCTATGCCGATCCGAAGCCAGGAGCCTCTTCCGGGTCTCCCACGTGGGTGCAGGGTCCCAAAGCCTTGGGCCGTCCTTGACTGCTCTCCCGGACCACAGGCAGGGAGCTGGATGGGAAACGGGCCTGCCAGGATAGAACTGGCGCCCATATGGGATCCCGGGCGTGCAAGGCAAGGACCTTAACCATTTGCGCCACCGCGGTGGGCCCAATAAAGGATACTTTGCTAGATCCAATTATTTCTCACTGCAATGTAACATATTCAAATTTGGATAAAGCAAACAGCACGATGTCCAAAATGACTGTTAACATGTAATCTTGCCGATACTATTTTTTCCCAACAGGAACTCAACCCCTTATCAGCTCCGCTGTGTGTTTGCAGGGTGTCAGTGTCACCAAGCTGCACAATGGGCTAAATGCCACACTATGTTATTCAACACTGAGCACCTCAAACAGTATTGAAAGAAAACAACTTACTTGAAGAAAGAGGGAAGAGGAAGAAAAGAAACAAACAGGAAAAGATGAAAATAAATGACAACAAAGTGGGGACATGAAGGAAAGAATGGATAGGGAAAGAAAGAAAAAGAGTGCTGGGGGAAATCAAGACAGGAGGCAGAGAAAGGAGAGAAGACAGAATTGTGGAAGAGAACAGGGCCAGACAATAAAGGAAGAGAGAATAAGATGCCCAGTAATAGAAATGACCACAGAAAAGGCAACGAACCACAGGGACAAACAGGGCTGTGTAATGCCTCATCTAACCCTGTGAGGCAGCGAAAGTAAGCTTGCTGTGGGAAGAATGTCATAATTTATTGTGCTTTCATTTCAAACCGTTATTTGAAACCAACACATTAAAGAACTGAATCAAAAGAAACACTATCAATACTTCAGGTGTAATTTTAAACGTTGGCAGACAGGCACTTGGCAAAGCAGTGAAGATGCTACTTCAGAGTCCACATCCCATAACTGAATGCCTAATTCAGGTTCATGCTTTGCTCCCAATTCCAACTTCCTGCTAATATGTACTCTGGGAGGCAGACTGCAATAGCTCAAGTAGCTGAGGCCCTGCCGCTGAGTTAGGCTTCCTGGCTCTCAGCTTTATACCTGCTCAGTCCTGGCCACTACTTCACTTAGCAAGTGAAACTACAGGTGGGTGTGCTCTCCCTTCCCCACCCCTCCCTTTACCCCACCCTTCTCTCTTGCAAATCTGAATGCCAGCATGCAGAGGAGAGCCCCACACACTACTACAGTTGCACCCTGCGTGATAAATAGTACTTAAGGCTCAGCTCTTATCCCATGAAAACCAGAGCTCCTTAAGGCCATGTAGACACTTGTGTAAGCACAGCATCTGTCACAGTATAGTATACAGTAGGTGCTCCAAGGAGGCTGCTAAGTGAACAACAAGAACTACACCATTGTAAATGGAAAACTGGCAAAGGCCATTCTATGGGTAAAAAGGAGAAAAATAATTCCCCTGCTCCTTTAGGAAAACATATTCTGTGATATTAGTTACAGGTCAAGAAGAAAATGGCTATGGCATAAGGATGTACATTCTTGAGAATAAAACTTGATATGCTGCTTCGGTCAAAATGCTGGTCATCAAGAAGAAGGGCTTAGGAAACCAATATAGTTCCATAATAAAATAAACATGGATGCTATCAAGCTCTTCTTATACTAAAATAAGTTGTATGTACTCTTCTATAATTTGAATATGTTACTCAAGAATTTATATATGGGGTCAGTCTATTGGCTCAACTAACTAATCCTCTACCTACAAGCATGGGGATTGCATACAGGTGTCAGTTCATTTCTTGGCTGTTCCACTTCCCATCCAGCTTATGGCCCAGGAAAGCATAAGAGGATGGCCAAAGCCTTGGGACCCTGCACCCAAGTGGGAGACCTAGAAGGATCATCTGAATCTTAGTTTTGGATCAGATCAGCTTCAGCCATTGCAGCTATTTTGGGAGTGAGCTAGCTGATGAAACATCTTTCTGTCTTGCTGAAAATCAGAGGATATGTGGTTGACCATAGAATGTATGTGTCAGAATTGGGTGTCCACAGTTACTGAGGCCTATGTGGTAGACAGTATGCCTACATGCTCATGGGGGACATGACAACCAGTTCATTGAACTGCAGAGAACATCTAGTACCATGGAAGGCAGACAAATTAGACAGCTTTCCTGGACAAGTATCTGGAAGAATTGAGGCTCTAAGTGGACTATGTCAGCCAATGGGCCTGAGAAAGATTTGTTCAACCTTGGAGCAATGAAATGAACAGCATCTCAGAATTATCAGAACCAGTTGGGCAGTATCGGAGCACACTGCACATCGGGGACCCTGGGATGACAGCAGGTGGCCTTCCCCCATTCCTCAACACTGATGTGGTTGGGTTGATCTGAGAGGCTCTCTCTCCTTCTCTCCTGACTTTTTCCAGACACCAGAAGAAAAAAGGAGATTGTAGGAAGTTGTCTCATCTGCTTTCGTCCATTCCTCGACTCTCCCCACCCTACTGGTAGTCCACATGAGCATGCATCACTCTCAACTATGCAAACATCAAAAGATTACTTTATTATCTTAAAAAAAGATTTTTCTGTCTCCCCTTCACTTTGTAAATCTGCCTTTCCAATAAAAATAAATAAATCTTTAACAATAAAAAATAATGTATGAACAATTTCATCCTTAACTTCATATTAATGATATTTGGAGGTAAGGCCTTTGGGAGATAATCAGGGCTTGATGAGGTCACGAAGGTGTGGCTTCCATGATGATATTAGTGGCTTCCAAAGAAATAGGGGAGCCTGGTGCGATAGCGTAGTGGTTAAAGTCCTCGCCTTGCACGCCCCGGGATCCCATAGGGGTGCCGGTTCTAATCCCGGCAGCTCCACTTCCCATTCAGCTTTCTGCTTGTGGCTTGGGAAAGCAGTTGAAGACAACCCAAAGCCTTGGATTCTGCATCCATGTGGGAAACCCAGAAGAGCTGCTGGCTCCTGGCTTCGGACTGGCTCAGCTCCAGCTGTTGCAGTCACTTGGGGAGTGAATCATCGGACAGAAGATCTTCCTCCATGTCTCTCCTCCTCTCTGTATATCTGCCTTTCTAATAAAAATAAATCTTTAAAAAGAGATAGGGGACCTGAGTTAGCACATTGTTCCCTGTCCCCATGTGACAGCTCTTGGTCTTAGCACGAGGCCCCCATCAGATGCTAAGCAGGCACTGGCTTCATGTGTTTGGATTTTTGAGCTCCCTGAATCACAAGACAAACTCCCACTCTTTATGAATGACCTTTCCTAAGGTATTCTAGTAAAGCAACAGCAAATGAGCAAAGACATACACTAAAAATGTGAAGCTCCGTCTTCTGCTTTATCCTCCGCTACTAAACCAGACGGAACATGGTTCTGATAAACAATCAGCTTCTCCTTCTTGGTTTGGTTTCTTACACATATGTGTGCATAAGTGTGTTTTTAAAATAAGGATATTATTTATCTGATCAACCTGAGGTGTTTTTTTTTTTTGCATCATTGTGATAGCTACTTTTACCTAAAATTTCCTACTAATTTGCAACTGTGGGAATCTGTTTACTCACAAGCCCAAAAATTTCCATACAGAAATCTACTATGCCATAAACAAAGTCCACTCTACAGTTGTTTCTTCAAGACTGTCTTTCCAGTAGCATAAATCGGAGACACATCTTTTTTTCGTGTGGAAATCCCAGATAGCCTCACAGCTTCCCTTTTGTGTGCCCAGACATTTGGGAAAGTCTGAAGATGACCACAAGCATTCAGTTGTTCTAAACAAGTCTTCTCAGAGGACTATCTTTCTGTTTAGGCTAGCAATATTACACACCTTTTTGTTCTTGTGAACAATGTAAGCACCCACCTGTCCAAGGCTTCATGGGAGTTGTGTCGATTGAGTACCACCCTACCATAGTTCTCGTCTCTAAGGAAAAGAACAGAATCGTATCACATAACAAAGTAATCACAATATTTGTTAAGTACTGAATTAAAGAGATGGGAGAGAACTCAACAATGTTTGGCAAGCTCGAACTAATTCATTTGACTTCAGGCACAAGAACACAGCTATAAATCTACTTGAACCAGTCACTACTTGCAAGAGCATGGCAAAAAGACACAAGCTTGTCAGTACAGATGATCATTCATCCCATGAGATTTCCACATGATTCAACAATGAATGAGTGTTTTGTTTCATTTTGTTGTTGTTTTACTACAATGTGGGAGCACAAGGTATCTACTTTATATCAATTAGAAGAGCCATTTTTTATACAGGAAGGGAAAAATCAAAAGATTGTTACAAATATTGCCTAAGATTAATTAATTCCATTATGTCTGGGTATTTTAATGGACTTGGCTGTTTTCTTTGATAACTCACAGGAAAACAAATGTTAATGTTTGTGGCTAACATCATTCTCAAGTTTCTTTTTGAACTGTGAGAATATATAGCTTCTCTATTTGGTTCTTAAATTACCTTGTGAATTAAATAGGATGAACACTGTCAAATCCAACTCACAGATGAGAAAATGGATCAAGGATTCTGTAGCTTTCCTAGGATCACAAATTCTGCAAGTTACAGAGGTGAATCTCAGCACCAGATCTTTTTATTCCACCATCTGCTTTTCCTAATGACCAACTCTGTAATAAACATTTACAAATAAAATCTCCAATCCACGTCCTTCTTTCTTATTTAGTACACTAGACCCAAAGGCACAGATAATTTTAAGAAATGTCAAAACAAGTAGTTGAGTTTTGGGACTTGAGACAAGAATAATTACCTGAGTCTTTTTCATGTCAACCTAGCCAAACTTGAAACACCACTTTTCCTGGTTTGGCTCTACTAATATTACTCAACACTTTGGAATCACTTTTAATAAAGCTATAAAATAATTGTGGTGAGCAACTTAAAAAGACAGCTGGACAGTGAAACTGAAACACTGCCAGAAACACCCCCAAAGACCCAACAAAGACTTTCCCATCTGCCTTGATATCCCTTCCCAAGTTGGTGAGAAAGTAAGAGACACCAGGTGTGTTCCTACATAAGAAGAATCAGGACACACAGTCCAGAATGGAGCCAGTGGGAATTGGAGAGGCCAATTTCCCTTCAATGAATGCTTGCAGTGCCAGCCATGTTGGCTTTCTGGCCCTTTCCAGAAAGACTTGCTTGGCATGAAACCAAATTCTTACCAAGTTTGTTCTGTCTTAGATGTCTCTATGGCCACCCATCTGTGTAAATATTTATAAACCAAAATGTATTATCTACATTTGACATCACAGAAAAACAGAAACACACGCCAGACTCCACCAGATGCAGGAAGTGCTGTTTCACAGAAGTGATTTCTGTCCCCTTAGTGCTAACTCCGGAAGGTAGTCTCTATAAGTACCCTAACAGTTCCTTAAAGTAATAAAATTTAATGAAAAGGAAAGCCACAGGTATGTTTATATAACAGAAATATGTCCATCAAATAGCTATGTCTCAACAGTTTATACAAAGTTTAGAATTAGTGTCCCATAATGTAGAGTATCTCAGCTTCAGGCCTATTGACAAATTAGGTTTGTTCATTTTTTTACTGTAAGGCTGTGTAGTACATCATAGGACTTGGAGCAGCATCCCTTACCTCTACTCACAAATACCATAGTGAGCCCCAATTTTGACAAGCACAAATGTCCCTAACATTGTCAGAAGTCCGTTGCAGTAAAATTGCTCATGGTTAAGAAACACTGATGAAATTAAATGCAATGGGTCTTATGAAAATTCCAACTACAACACTTAGTAGCTGAAAGCCACTGGACAAGTTTCCTAACTTCTCCGAGCTTTAGCTTCCTCTTCTGTAAATTTATGGTATGATATCCACCTTGTGTATTTGTTGTCATATTAGGTGATTCTTCATATTAAGAGGATCTAGCATCAAACCTGACACATTAGGAAATAAGAAACTGTATACATATGCCCATATCATTTATACTCTGTATCTAACTTATTATGTGTAAAAATTTAGGATAGGGAAAATATCTATTATAAATATAAGTATATTGGCAATGAGGATACATGTCTGTGATCGTAATATTCAGAGCTTTAAAAACGCACCTAGCAGAAACAATACTTAAAGCAAACCAAACTGCCAGAGGTGTTTTCTCCTCTAAAGTAAGGTCACATTTCCCACCCTTCTAATAACCACAAATTGATGGCTCTAGCAAGGGTTGAAATGAGTTAGTGAGTTATAAATTTCACATGTGCATATAGACACTTTAGATAAATCACTATTAAATTTCAAATCACATTATTATATGTTTTTCTCAACTGACAAGATTGACACATAGCTGGAATCTCCCTGTAGTAGATGTAACTATTATTATTTTTTTATTTACTGTTAACTATGAAAATCACGTATTCTCAGTTTATCCAGCAAGCACACGATCTATTCCAGGTGACAGCCATGCTCTTCTTAGTAATGATTCATGCTCTCTAATGTATGCTGCAGATAGTAAGACAGATTCTTGAACACCTAGTAGAACCAATTTAAGCCATCTATATCTCACCAAAAGTTGGCTGTGAAACAATCACCATTCAGATGGCCATTGGCTTCCCCAGCAGAGTGCCTCTCTGCTTATCCAGCCACCCAACCTTCTCACGCCCCCTTACTTCTCTTCTTCAGGACGTTTCTTGATCCAGCTGCTATCTTGTAAGAAAGTCCTTCTTTTGTTCACCTCATGAAAGCCCTGTTGCCTCAGCGCAGTCCCTTGAGTTGTGCTTTTCATCGCTACCAACAGAAAGATGGGAAATTAGGAGAAGTTGCAGTGATAAGCTGGATGTGGGTTGTCAACCTGAAAATCTAGAGTCACATCTGATCGGCCAGCATTAGTTCTAGACTAACAAGTCAGTACTGTCTCATAGCAGGGCACACCAGCAAGAAAGAACAAATCCCATACCTCATCATCAAAGATAGCATATAAAATTGCTTAGGTGCCAACTGAAACTGCCAGTGCAGCTCACAGAGCCCTATACTACTCCTGAGAAAGTGGAACTGCCAGTCTGGGATAAACCAGGCCAGGGTTTTGTGGGGATGATAAGTGTAGTCCATATGAAATACATCTTGGCAGCACACATGACTGTTTTTATAGTACATAGTAAAAAACAACCAACAAGTCCTGGAATATTTGATTACAGGCAACTACATTCTTTGATCTCATGGGAGCAGTAAGTATAGAAGGTCACACTTTAGAAATAGAAAAAAAAATTTATATTGCAGTTACATGAGTAAAAACTCTAATACGCTTGTTTTTCTTTTTTAAGCTCTAGAAATGTACCTTAGTAAGACTCTTGTTTCTAAGCATTCAGTATTATTGAAGAATTAGAATAGGAACCACCACTGTGTCTCAGCAGGTTAAGGTACCATCTGTTGCGCTGGCATCCAATATGGGCACTAGTTCAACTCCTGGCTGTTACAATTCCAGTCTAACTCCCTTCAAATGTGCCTGGGAAATCAGTGGAAGACGGCTCAAGTGTTTTGGCCCTGGCATCCATAATGGGAGACCTGCATGGAGTTCCTGGCTGCACTCCATCCTAACCCCAGCCATCATGGCTACTTCGGGGACTAAACCAGCAGATGAAAGATAATATCTTTCTCTCTCTCTTTCTTTCTCTCTCTCTCTTTCTCTCTTTCTCAGAGACACACACACACTTTCTTTCTCTTTCTGCCTCCCCCTCCCTCACTCCCTCCTTTTCTTCCTTCCTCCTGCTCTGTCTTTCTTCCTTCTTTCCTTCCTTCCTTTCTTTTTTTTCTTTCTTCCTCTCTTCCTTCCTTCCTTTCTTTTTCTTTCTTTCTTTTTTCCTTTCTTTCTTTCTTTCTTCCTTTTTCTCTCAGTGGACTTTTATTTTTCCTTTTGCACTTATTATGCCATGAATTCATACTGAATGAGTTCCAACAGCTCAGGCTCCTTTCCATTGATTCTAACAAAATGGGCTTTTCTGGATGGAGCAGGATGGCACATTAGTCGAACCCAGACACTTTTCTCTTGGGCTTTTTTTCTTTTTCTGATCATTTTCTTTCACTTGTTTCAGGAAGCTATATTGGCTGCTTAATATACTCAATATGCACATTTATTCTCTTGGCAAGAATCTTTTCCTTAACTTGTTTGTTAACAATAATGCCAACAGCATGCTGGTAACACTGCAGACTCAGTTTTGCCATGGTGACATTTATGGGGCATTCCTTTTTGAACAGTATCCATTCCCTTGACATCTAAAATGTCACCCTTCTCATAAATACACATGTATGCAGCCAAAGAACAACTCTCTGTTTCCCAAGAAGCCTAGAGAACATGTAACGGGTGCCTTTCTTCCTTTGTGCTTGTCATCTTGGAGACTTTCTGGAAGATGACAGCTCTGGCACAAGACTTCCCCCTCCCTTTCTGCCTTTCTAATAAAAAAATCTTTAAAAAAATAATTAGGACAGTGAATTGGCTTTCCCAAACTTTTAAGTTTTCTGAGTGAAAGAAACATTGTCTACATTACCATTTCCTGTGGGAGATGATTTGCTTAAAGGAAAACTGGACATGCTGCCTTCCAGTAAGGATCTAAAAAAACAATAGGGCTGGAAGAGAACAGAACAATGAGTCTAAGAATCTGTCAGAGATGGTATATGGCTAAAAGACATTTTTTCAATGACATTCAGAAAGTCACAAGATCTGGTATAACAAATACATGACATGAAGTTACCCCTAAGAACCTGAGAGCTCATCTCTTCAACATGCTCATTTTGAGGATGGATAAAGTGGGATCTGGGGGCATTTAGTGTACCCAGTGTTGTATAATAAGCCACTTGTTGAATCAGGCAATAAGTCAACTCATTGACTCAATCAATGACTATGCACTATGCCTTCTGTTAAAACAGAAGCAGGCACAAACAGATGGGTTTGACAGGCGTCTGATCACAGCAAGGAAAGAGATTCGTGTGCTAAAATACACAGCACAGTTTGAAGAGCACAAGAAGAGCTCATTGCCTCCTTCTCTGGAGAAGTCAGAACAAATCCAGAAGACTCAGGTGTAGCTAGAAGGAAAGACACTGGTAATTTCAGGCACTGCCATGTGGGAGAGCCCGAGTTCCTTAGCCATGGAGGACAGTCCGAGTTCTCTGCTGGGAAATAAGTTGTCCCATGGTTTCTCCACTGAAATAAGTTTTCCATGGTTAGTCCTAGATTAACACAGTACCCAAAATTGAAGCATGGCTGTGTGGACAATTTTGTCATTGTACTCCCACACTCCATTCCACTCACCAAATAAATTACAAATTATGTTTGATGACTATGTAAACATCAATACAATCCAACCTGGATACATTTTATATGCTCATTATTATTATTTACATTCATATATTTTTCTTTCATGGTTAAAATAAACTAAAATTAGGCAATTTTGGTGGGTTTTAAAGACGTGACAGTCTTGGGCACTAGGTCTGGTTAGTTCTGGGCTTCTCCAGAACTTCTCCTGAGGGAAATGAGATGGCCCTCACCCTGGGTGTGGTGGTTGTCCTTTTCAGTGTCCACCCAACTAGACAGGAGGTGGGATACTGCAGAGACACTTGACGCCCGAGTCAGATACCAGTTCTAGGTCCAGCTTTATCACATTCAAGTTTGATAAGTAAACTACTTAACCTTCCTATAAAATGGGGCTAATGAAACCGTTCATCTACTTCATAAGGTTGTCATGATTTCAAATGAATTATGTAGACAGAGATCATTTTGTAGGATTCGTGAGTGCTACCAGACTGAAGATAATCCTCAGACAATGTTCGTCTGCAATGTAACTTGTAGGTTCTCAAAATTTCCATTTCCCATTGTCCTGTGCCAAACTTTCCCTTGAAACAACTTGCCTCAGGACCTGACGTGGGAATCATTGCTTTAGATCTTTTTTCTCCCCCCAGGAGTCTCCATTTAGAAAGTCAGAAGGTATGCAAACTATCATAGAACCCATGTGGGTCTCTACCTGATCATGGTTGGGCAGGTCCAAGCTGATAAGTTTCTGGTAAGTTTCCCTTTGCTGATGGAGCTCCCTAGTCCCGTAGCCTCCCCAGTTCCGTAGCCTCCCCATCCAATACAACCCCCAGCCAACTGACTCAGGATAAAAAAATCTCAAGGAAGAAACAAGTGAGTATGGCAATAAGGCAATTCTGGGATAGAATCCCATTGAAACTCAGGAGAACATTTTGTTCAGCTCCTTCTGCATCCTCTCCTTTGGTCCCTTCTCCTAAGAGCACATCTTCCTCAAGTCACAGGTTACTATTTCTAGGGAATCCAACCTAAGACAAGATCTAGCAGCCAATGTACTATAGGGACCATTATCCAGAGACCTGCAAATGTTCACAACACTAAGAGCCAAAAGCCTGAAGTTACAGGGACCTGTATTTAAATGATGCCATGTACTAACTGACACCTTTATGAACTCAGGTCCCTCATCTCAAAAATGAGGTAAAATAGAGCTGTTATGAAAAATCAAACGGAATAGCATATACAACATATCAAATGATTATCAAACACAGAGTAAGTTTTCAATAACTTTTAATTAATTTGTGCCTTTGCACTATCATCTTGGACAACAGAGAGAAAAGACCTAAAAGACATATGGATCAGCACACAGAAGAAATGGAATAGACCTGAATCTGAACAGCTGCACATTCAGATCAAGAAAGGAGTCCTCCATTGCATACACTTGGAGTTACAAAAAGATAAGAAGGAAAGATAAAGAGAAATGTAAGTATAGATTTAAATCCCAACTAATCCTAAATTTTGCCTCTGTCTGGCCCAGCCCCTTGGGACCCTTGGCTAACCCATTCAGCTCAAGGGATCACTGAATAATAGAAATCATCACAGGATTGCCTTTTCTCTGGGTTCCCTGATTTCCACTCAAAAACATGAACCCAAATGGGCACAGCATCACATATTGTTCAAACAGTGGAAACAACCCTAATAACAATCAATGGATGTGTGGATCCACAGTGTTGTATAGCCACACAATGGAGTAAAAAAAAAAAGCATAGTGTTGATTCCTGTTATTACATGGATAAAATCTGAAACATTAGGCAAAATGAAGAAAGCCACATACCGAAGATGAAAGACTACATAAATTTATTTGAAATGCACAGAAAAGTCAATCCCAAAGAAAGAAATCATATTAATGTTCACTCAGCATTTGGGGAGGGTCAATGCACAGTGATTGTTAATGGAAATAAAATATCTTTGGATTTAAAGAAAATGTTCTGAAATTATGCAGTGGTGATTGTCACTAATAAGAGAATATGATATTCAACACCATCTTAAAAAGTTAGTAATTATTTGGTCATCTGTTTTCTGTCATTTCAAAGGAGCATGCTCTTGTAAAAATATAATATATGCAAACACCATTATTTAATATTTACTATCCACATAAATATGTATTTTATCTATAAAACAAATATATTAAATAAAAAGTTGCCCCTTTAGCTATAAAATTAAGTATGCTTTTAAAAAAATTGAATGTTAACACTAAGATTCAGATATCCACTTATACATATCATGTTCTATCCATACTGTTTGAGCTAACTTTTCTAAACAAATATACTTTTCATGTGAAAAGTTCCCTTATCTGTTATAGAGGGTCAAAGATGTATATTAGATCCCAGTATATTACTTCCCCCGTCTTGAGGTCAACACCTCTCTTCTCCCCATTAGATCTCCTCCTGACTTTTCATTTCTGCTCCCCAGCACTTCCCATCTCCTTCAAGTATTCAAACTCCATCTGACCCTTTTTCCTCAGGAAGGTTACTTCTGTCTTTTAATCAGTCTGAAGTAAAACGTGCCTGTGCAGGCAACACGTGAACATCAGGTTACTGATAGCATAGAGGAAGAAATGATGGGCCTGAAGCTAGAAAGACTGAGCACTGTTTCAGGGTGTGAGCAAGATCACACCAGATATGTCTAAGGTTTATTAAGGAGTCTTTTTAACCAAGCTTGGTGATAACAGAGCATACTAGAAATAGCAGATCACAAGTCCATACGGGAACCCAACCAATCATAATCCAACCAAACATAATCCAAAGGGGAACAAATGGTCATTACCCTTAAGTCCATCCGTTAAGTTGAAGACCTATGTCCCAGCTTCCCCCAAAATATAAGTTATCCTAAGAGACATGCAACGAATAACCTGGAACACTTATAAAGCTGCAGACATTCACCTTTCCTTGGCTTCTCTGCCCGCATTCCACTACTGCTAAGCCTCCTCTCTCCTGGAACTCCTGATAGTACACAGACCAGAAACAACGTTAATGTATCCATTGTCCCATCTAAGCAGTACACAGGGACCATGCTCAGGGGATTACCTGTCCTGGGTCAGCCAAGAGTCGAGGTGCCAGAGTAACGGAAACACCTGACCAGAAAGTGAGAGAGTGAGCTCCTGGGCCTTTTAAAGGAGCTTGTGAGGGGAGTGGTTACACAACATTGCAATAAGATCCCCTCTCAGTTGATAGGTGAGTCACAGGTGGGCAAGAGCGAATACCTAAGTGTTGTGAGTTAAGGAGTTAATTGGCGCTCATTGAGATGGGCAGGAACAGGAACTGGGCTTGTAGCTAAAAAGACTAATTGGACTCATCTGCATCTCGTCCAACATCCCAGCCGAATTAGGACGTGGTGGGGAAGGGTATACCAGGAGAGATGAAGGAGCAATCACTGGCTGCACTCTATAACTTTGCTGCTGGTTGTGCTAAGCAGGGCTTCACAGTAACATTAAAAGCTTGTCATAGAAACTAAATGAGACAATACTTTATATTTTACTCTAAGATCATATAAAGTATTACTGTTATCTAAATTTTATTTTAAATTTTAGTAATAAAAACTGTACATATTTAGGAACTACAGTGGGATATTTCAAAACATGTAATGATCAAATCAAGGTAAGCAACTTTTCCCCATTTATTGACACTATTTTTGATTGGAAGTTTAAAGCACCATTATTCTATTTGTCCATGAACTACGCACTAGGTTATAGTGGACTCAATAGTGTTGTGTAACACTGGAAAACATATTTCTCCAATGATCTCTAATTAGGGACCCATCATCTAGGTTTCCTAAAAGTGCAGCCTGGTCTAGGAGGAGGGTAGAAGCGGCAAATGGGAAAGATATCAAGAAAAATCTAAAACCAACACTGGCCAGGCCATAAAAGAAGCAATAAGGTGAAAACTGTGGTGTACTGGGGGGTCGGGGGGAGAGTTCACCTGACACAGTTTCTAGAGCGTATCCCCAAAATCAGATGGGCAGTGGGGGCAGAGGTGGCTGGTATGTATGTGTGTCAGGGGTAGAGAGGCATAAGTATAAGATATCTGCTCATCCTTAACAGAGAGAAAGAGGTTAGGGCCAGGACCCGTTCATATGACTTAACCTCCTTTGTTCTTAGTTTAGTGGCTTTGTGGAGAATACCTAACTACCAAAGACATGAAAGAGTCAGACCCTCTAGGAAGATGTTGAATCTTACTGAAGCCAGCCCCTATTTAAGGCAGAGAAAATACCTGATTCTCTCAATGTAGCTCCCTACAGAAAGTGCTGAAAATCTGAGAATCTGCTGA